AGGTTTTTAGGAGTGCATCGGTCAGGGAACGTACGTCGGAGCATATGAGTGGTTGACGAGCATTCTTCTGCAGAACCACAGACACACTAATCAATGCTGATGATTATCACTATATTTTACTTAGCTTCCCACAAGATACTGCTCTACTTTGGTAAAATAATGGCGTAGAAAATACAAATGTAAATGATAAATCCCCATTATAGATAAGATTTTATTTTGATAAAATCACACAGTGTTGTTATACAGTTATATTAACTGATCCGACCACGTTTCGAGCAAAAACTATTGCCGCTCATAATCATATCAAGGCACTCACACAACTTTCACGCTCCATTTATATACATGAGTGAAATTGTGATTAGACATCTGAAAAAAATCAATGTAAGATAAAGTACATTAGGAAATAGTATCAGTGTTATGAATAAAATACAATAAGATGGGAAATAAGACAAGTGTTTTTACAGTCAAAATAAGTAACTTGTTAGAATGTGAATTGAAATACATTTTAACAATATTTATTATCCTCTGATTTGACTGGTTATATCTTTCAAATCTCTGGTATTTTCGTTGATTCATTTCTGTTGCATATGTTGAGTGTAGACTCTATGAATCAGGATTCAGTAATCGACCTCTCTCTCTCCATCTACCTATGTTACTCTTTAGAATTTTAACCCTCTCACACCCTATTGTGTGGTTGGGTGTTAATGCATGCAGTACAATTGCTGACCTTTTTTCTAAATTACTTATCTTCGCGGGGTCAATCATTCTCACCCTAAAGTACATTCAGATATAATGTTATCTTATATTGATCTTACTCAAATGTGAACTTTATTCCCTTTACTAGTGAGTTTGAATCGGAAAATGAAAAAGGAGAATTAGCTGTGATTTTAGATTGTAAAATAAAACGAATAGAAGAGGGTAAACTGCATACTAGCGTTTATAAGAAGCCAACGCATTCATCTAATAGATATTTAGACTTTAAATCATCTCATCCGTTATCTATAAAGGCCGGCTTAGTTAAGTGTGTCTAACAAACCAAGCCATAGCACTAAGTAGTACAGCAAAAAGCCGAAATGCTGAAGTAAAACAGATAGAAGAGGCGTTGGTGTTGAATAACTTTCCTATAAAATTCACTAGGAATATCAAAAAAAGTCGAAAGCAAAATAAGAATTATGGTGAAACTAATAATGTTAACATAGATAAGAGAAAACTTGAAGAGAGGACATCTGAGGCCCTACGCAGGATTCTCAACAAAGCAGGAGTTAAGGCGGCAATCAAACCTACAAACTCACTCAGGTAGGACAAGCTCTGTAGATAGGTTAAAGGACCCTGTAAGTTGACCCAATTAAACGAAATAATATAATTTACAAAATACCTTGCAATGACTGTGAGTTAAGTCAACTACATAGGTCAGTCAAACTCGTAGGTCGGGGGAAGTCAGATTGTCAGAACATAAGAATTTAGCTAAGGTAAGAATGGTTGACCCAGAGAAGATAAGTAATTTAAAAAAACGCCCATTATAACACTGTATATATTAACACACAACCACACAATAGCGTAGGAAAGAGTAAAAATTCGAAGAAGTAATCTAGGTAGGTGGAGAGAGAGATTGATTACTGAATCCTGGTTCATCGAGTCTACACTCAACAAAGCAAATACCAGAGATATGGAAGATATTATTACCACCAGTCAGTCAAATCAGAGGAGGATAAGAAATAATCTTGAAATTCTATTTCAATTCAAGTACACCATAGCATTCTAACAAGTTACTTATTTTGACTATAAAAACACTCATTTTATTTCCCATCTTATTGTATTTTATTCGTAACACTAATGCTATTTCCTAATGTACTTTGTCTTATATTGATTTTTATTCAAATGTCTAATCACAATTTCACTCTTGTATATAAATGGAGCGAGTGACTGGATATGATTATGAGCGGCAATAGTTTTTGCTCGAAACGTGGTCGGATCAGTTAATATTACTGTATAACAACACTGTGTGATTTTATCAAAATAAAATCTTATCCATAATGGAGTTATACTCTACTACCACAGTGCCCAAGTTTTCTACTTATACCAGTAAATGATAAATGATTCTGATTTGAACTTCAGTAAAGTTAAATGTAAACTGCGTCGAAGACGATATATTAAAAGGGTTGTTTACGTACGTGGAACCCTATACCTTCATATATTTTATTTTGTCAATTATGAATAATGCAAAATAAATTTCAAAGCTACTGATACCAACCACTAAGACCTTCATCCTTTTATAAATGTGAATAACTATCATTTTTCTATCTAAGTAGACACTTTTATCACTTCACATCTTATCTATCTCCCACCTAAAAGCTGAAAGCACAACACAAAAACGGTATATTGGTGATATATATATATATATATATATATACTTTGGTAGAATAAATCCTAGTACTGCGTAAACAAACACACAGAAAGTGAGGATAACCATGTATTATTGATTTTTATGTTCATGTACGATACATGTGTGGGCGTATATGACCATATGCATTAGAAAGTTTAAAAACAATGATATCTAATATTAATAATAATGATAATATTGATAATGATAATAATAACAGCAATAATGATGGCATTCCCAGACAGAAAGTTATAAATCATATTCCTTATTCTGTTAACCATTTTTATCTTGAAATATATGTATGAAATCTTTCTCACGCAGACTAATGAAAGTCTCGATCAATCTGGTGAAATATAGTACATAGTAGTCACTCTATGCAGCTAAAAACCAGCAGGACGGTAGTTAGTTCACTTGAACAGATTTTAATCAGGGCGCTGTATAAAAAGTGAAGCTTATCACGAAATTCAAGTATTGGTTTATAGGGATTTTGATAGATTGGTTACAGAATTTCATCATGAGCCGACATCGGTTAGAAAACCATTGGAAAACCTGCAGGGAGTACTGGACAGCTGTTTCGTCAGCCTAGTTCGGGACTCTTTATCATCACCCACCGAAAAGGTCCGAACCCGGCACCTTCTGGGTGATGATGATGAAATCCTGTAACCAATCAGTGAAATCACTACAAGCCAATACTTGAATATCAATGAGATGCTCACTAGCGACTGGCCTTATTCAGGTAGGTAGTTACACGGGGTTCTAGTGGGAAGTCGTGACCAGTAGGGTACGGCAGGTCGGATGTGAGGAAAAATACTCGCCACCGATGACATTGGCTAGTGGTCTCGCTATATCGTGAATTAGCAGAAGTTGGAATTCATGGACTGGCCATTGGATCGGTCCCAGTGACTTAATGGACTACAAGCTCACCTTGTAACCAGAAGGTCGTGGGTTCGAACGCCATGGTGTGGGTGAGTACTGAGGAAGAGTCCCAAACTAGGCTGACGAAGCAGCTGTCGAGTACTCCCATATCTTCCAATGGTTCTCTAACCGATGTCAGTTCATTATGAAATCCTGTAACTTACACTAAATGTTTACCTTATTCCTTTGCGCTCCACTTCAAACTGAAAGCTTCAGATTTCCAGTTTCAGTAGTGGTTGGCAGTGTTGTTGTTTTTATTGGATGAGATTGCACTCAACTTTTACCAAGGCAAATCTACCAACTTGGAAGGGCTCATGTCCCTTCTGAGAGTCAAACCCTTGTCACCCAGCGCTGCAGTCAGAGACGTTACTTCTGAGCCCATTAGACTCACGACTGACCTCACGTAGAACTGTATTGGATACTTTGATTGGGCATTAGGTAGTTGGTAATTAGTGGTATGCGTCTGGTCCTTTGTTTGGGGCAGACTGAATTCTATCAGCCAAGTTTGCAATGTGGCCACTATTCTAGGTGTCTCGCCATCACAGTGCACTTTGAATTGTTGATATTGCTTCCAACGAACTAATATCAACAATCCAAAAAGCACCGTGATGAAGAGCCGCCTATTGGCATGCTGTCCACATTGCAAACTTAGCTGATAAAATTCAGGCCGCACCAAATAAAGGACTAGGCATGTTACATTAGTTACTGACTAGTGTCAAGTCAAAGTAATGGCGTCTGCTTAAGAGATATAAACTTTCCAAACGCTCCAACCCCCTTGAGTTTTTGAGAACTTACCGCTGAAAACGTTCTCCTTTTATATAATTCAAACTTTTTTCCCAAAAGAGCTTGGAGTGTGACATCAAGTGTTAATGACATATATGGTCTGTAATTCAGAAACCTGGAACTACATAGAGTCAGGTATTACCAGTATGAATACCTCACAGTATGCAACAACAACCAATACAAAAGTAATTTTAAATCACTCCTCTTTAATCGGCAGTCCCCTGAATATAATACAGGGGATCTATAAACACTATGAGCTATTTGGTTCATTGAAGGAAGGACTTACTTATGCAGTGATGTCTTCACTTTAGTTCACCTCAGAAATATAATACAGTGCAGTGGAAAGTAGTAAGACTAGAAGTTAATTAGTGGATGGTGACTAGCAGTGGAATCCAGGATAACGCGCATTTCGTCTTATTTGGGACTCGTCATCTGTCCCGTTGCAAAAGAAGTGTCTCTCTTATGGCCCAAGTGGTCTAGTGGATAACGCTTTGGCGTTTGAAACTGTGGGTACTGGATTCGAGCCTCGGTGGGAACATCATCACTCACTGCGGAATGCAGGTACATCCAGTTGACGAATCCCGAATGGGACGAAATGTGCGTTATCCTGGATTCCACTGCTAGTCACCATCCACCAATTAACTTCTAATTACATGCCCAGACATCGTCGAAGCATCTGCACAAGAAGCCGACATGTCAATCTGAGACCTAGCACTTCGGTCCAATCAATCTAAAATTGAATTAAATATTAGAACTGCACAGAAAGTGAATCTATCCCCAAGTTTCTTAAATTTCATTGCTTGATAAGAATGTTTCATATAACTATGTAGATAATATGTATTTTCACACTCGCTTAATTCTCTTTTTCTTCTTTTGATTCCTTGTATTCTGCTGTTTTTATGCACGTTTCAATTATTTATAGCGAAAATGCATCTACGGTTTTCAGTCCACATAGAAAGACAGAAAATACGCCTACCTGGAATCCCAGCTCACCTATTTACCCAGCTTACCCAGCTCATATGGATAAATCGAATTACACTGATTTTCAGGTAGGCCGCGTTAACCCGTTTTTTATTGAACTGTCTATCTGTCTGTGTATCTATCTACCAGTGTATATATCTATCTGTCATAATGGAACCTTAACTAAGATAAGGAAAGGTATAGACTGTGGCTGTCATTCACATTTCTTGCTATCGTTCATCTGGCTTCCTACATCCTGTTCTATTTGTTATTTTGAATAAAGAAGGAATGAATATGTTTGCAGGATAACACGAGCTTGTCTTATTTTGTAGATTCTGTTCAGTTACATGCATCTTTTTACAGTGACCCTGAATTATTTATATGGAGAGTATAAGCAACATAATTCCGAGAATGGTGTTAGTAGACTGAATTCGAGGCGTGTAGTTGGAAGTCTTGAACGAAATTAATAAACTTTTGCTGACACATCAGATTGAGACTTTCCAGTAGACTGTCGAGTTTAACTGGATCTGACCTTATGGTGCTGATATATTTTTGAGATGAATCAACATGTGATCTGGGGATGCGACGTAAATTTTTCTTTTTGAGTTGTTGGTAGTTTTGTCAATCTGGTAAGTCTCAGGAACTGTCGTGAATAATAAGCTGTTTCGAGAAACACTTCATGTAGAATTTATTTCTGGAAATTTCTCTCGCTATTCTGCAACCTGAATTCAGTGACTTGATTGATTCTGTAAGGAGACGTCATTTCGGGAATTTTATACAACCGGTTCCGTTTTATCAGTTTGAATAAAGAAAGAAAGAATATGTGGCAAAGTTAAACTTCAAGCACCACTAACTACCAATCAGCGAACGACCTTCAACGAACCAATCACATGAGGGACGGGTTTTTGATTGAGGAAAACGTATAATTATGGAAAAATGCATAAAAATTGCATAAAACTGTTACATAGGGTATCTTTCTCTAAAATGTGACGGAAACATCTCCCAGTCTAGCATAGGAATGTCAATAGAAAAGTTACACCACATTCTGTAGATATATTCATACAAATGAATATAAATGACATCCTTCTGAGATCCAATTATAGCCCTAATCTTGTTTTTTAATCTTCCTTAAAAACATTTTATAGAATTGGTTTGAGCCCCTGTTATCGGATCCACAAAATCATTAGAATTGTTCATCCTGTGGTGAATATATCCAAGAGATGACAAGGAGTTATAACCTTTCCAGTCATCAGTGTGTATTATAGATCCCTGTTTCACCAGCTCAGTAATAATAGGTGTTAAAGTAGTTGACTTTTTCTCTGCTATTCTCTCAACGAATCCTTTCTGTAGAGAGGTGTCATATAAGCTGATCACCCAAACATTTTTTGCTCGCTCATGACTCAGGTTTTATTTTTTCTTCAATAAGACAGTTTCGTCCACGTGTACGATGACACATTCTCCTCCTAATAAAGAAATAATTCTCTCCATTTTCCATGGCGCATGCTCGTGCCACTGAACTGTTGATACGAGGCTATTTTCAGTTTCAGCTGCTGCACCTCTCACAGGCTGTTTCAAAACCCATTAGTTACAAATGTACAAAATCCGGGCTAAGAACAGATGGGACCTGGCAAAAAATGTTCCTACGAACTATTAGAATCATCAGCTTACCTTCCCTGACACTAACCCGTCTCAAAACAATTGCACAACCATGGACATATCCATCGATCGACCTCCTGAAGCTTTTTGTACTTGTGACACCTCCACATGAACAAATCCTTTTCTTCCTAAGCAACCCCACATCCAAGAAATACTGGAAAACCTTTTCCTCACCAAATTACAAGCGTAACTGGGTTAGAGCAGGCGTTTGACTCGAATCAAGTACTATACAACCTTGAACTCGGTTGCATGAACCTCATTGGACCATTCGTGGTCATTCTCTGATTGGTAGTTAGTGGTGCTTAAAGTTTAACTTGGCCGAATATGTTTGCAGAATAGTACGAGCTCGTTTTATTTCGTGGATTCTGTTCAACTACTTTCATCCTTTTACAGTAATAGATAGAAATTATAGGTAAACTAATTCCGATGAATGATGTGTATTCAGTTATTTGACACATCGCTTAATACCTGAGTCAAATCAAAACCGGCATTTTTGCTAAGCTATTTAAACTAGAAGATTACTGATCTGCTATGATTATGGGACAGCATAGTCTTCTACATACATGGGGCTATATTTTGACGACGACAACCACTAATACATTCAGCACAGACTAAGTATCATAATCTTTCACTTCATACTGAGGCCTGCATTTAAGATGTCGTCTGAAAAGAAAACGAAGCCTAAGAAAATAAACCATCCTGTGCGAAGAATGCAGCCATATCAAAGCCATCCACTGAAGCTGTAAATCTGCCTTTATTATTTCAATATACCAGTCATGTGGTTATGTTAGTTAATACAAATTTTCAGTTTTATAGTATAGGAGGGGTGAAAAATAACTGAGGAATTCAAGATCACTTCATTTGTAGAAGGTAGCAATACAAGTCATTGCATACTGAGTCATTTGTAAAATAATGATCGCCAAGAAGAATAGATGAGTGAATTGCGTAAGAAAACCAATAAACGAACAATTTACTTGAATTTGCTGGAATAGTAACCATAATGAAATAACAGTGTCAAATGGTAGTTACAAGGATAATAGAAACTTCATTTGTAAGGCTCTATATATGTTATGTGGACGGCCATTGCATGGAAATGAGGCTGCACGAATTTCATTTGAACACATAGAATTGGCTTGTTCAGATGAACAGCGATCGCCCTATTCAGACAGTTAACCTGGGTTTCTAGTGGGAAGACGTGACCAGTAGGGTACTGCAGGTTGAAGGTGAGGCACTTACTCATCGAAGATGGCCATTGGATCGGGTTCCAGTGGCTAATTGGTCTACGAGCTAGCTCGCCTTGTAACCGGAAGATCCTGGGTTCGAACCCCAAAGGGTGAGTACTGATGAAGAGTCCCAAACTAGGACGAAACAGACGTCCAGTACTCCTTGGCAATTTTCTAATTGTTCTCTAAATGATGTCAGCTGATGATGAAATCCTCCAACCGATTAAACAAAAAAAATTTCATAAACATTTATGCTCGAACTACAAAATATAAAAATTCGACCGTACCATATTTGGCACGAGTATTGTGTGAAGAGACGAATATCAGAAAAGAACTTTTACAACTTCTAAATCATTAACTAAACTAAAAAATGTAATGATGCATATTATTGCATGAGTGATTTGTTATATTATTTATTTATTATTCACTATAACCTAGAAATGGTGTATTTTATTGGGTTTTTTTTTATTTTTCCTATTAACTATCAACATTTTTAAAATTTTACATATTTATATAATTATAAAAAGAGCTAAACCAATGCAATATGTAAAATGAAGCGCTGAAAATTCCATGCTGTAAATTGTTATTGTTGTGGAATAAAGTGATTATTATTATTATTATTATTATTATTATTATTATTAACAAAATCCCTACGAAAACCAATACTTGAGAATGCAATAAATAACTTTTAAAGCTCCATTAGTTCCGGCGTGATGAACTAGTATTCAACTGAGTATCACCATATTCGGTCCTTTGCCTAACCAAGATATGCGATGTTCAGAAATTCCTCGATAAACATTCCATAACTATCTGTTCTTAATTCAGACAGGAACTCGTGTATTAATCTAAGTATTCAAGAGAACTATCTAATTTGCTAAACAAACCATTAAAATCGGCAAGAGCCCAGTTTAATTCAACCATTGCAGTAAAGCGACACATTGATGTAATATTATTTTTAACAAAAGCACGGAAACTAGCTTTAAAATTGCATATGACACATTATAGTAGATAAACATTGACACTTGAAAATGTAAGTTTTGAAAGGAATCCTTGTTTTCATACCGAAATGGCAATTTTGCTTAGCTGAACAGCGTTGTACGCATACTACTTTGAACGAAATGGCTGTTTGTATTACAGACAGATGTTTCCACGCAACAAGGCTCATTGAACATCCGTAACACAGAAAAAAACTATTTTACAAATTTCATGCAGGATCCAGACGATTTTCTAAATATGATTTACATATTCTGCAAAAAATAAAACTGATCTTTTTGAATGTTTCTCATTTTAATTCTGCTAAATTTCAGCCTTTACGCTATAGACGAGAACAGTCTGTTCGACCGATGACCATATATACTACAAACACTCCAGTTAACAATAACACAATTGAAACTAGACAAGTATGGAAATCTGTAACAGCTCAGAATGTACCAGAAACAAATAGAACTGTACGCAGTGGAACATTTATAACGACAACGAAGAAACTGCCTGGTGGTCGACGTCCAGATTTCAACAGTGAACAACCAGGTGTATCAGAATTCTAAATGATCAATGCCCATATCTATTCCCCTGTAACACACAGTTAAACTTAGAAAGACTAAATAGTACGAAATATGATTCATAAAGCATATTTTATCACCTATAGTCTATGATGTTAGCAAATACATATTGAAGAAGAAACACACTAAGCAAAAACTTTCTTTCAGCCTAACAATTTCAAGCAATTCATGTGAGAAACAAGTCTTCAGCGGTCACTTTGAAATCACCCCTTCTTTTCTACTGCCCAAGATGTTAATCAAATAAAAGAGAATCTGTTCGTAATATTTATTTCGATGAAGTTTTCGTTTTTATTTAGAAAAAAAAATGATGGATTAAACCCAAACTACGTTAGACTTATTGAAGTAAAGTTCTCTCTTTTATATTTTGCTCACCAAAGACTTTCTTTTTGGGTTTCTACTGTTTTGTTTTTCTGTTTTTTTAAAAAACTTTCTTCTCTGGGGTACTTAGAAGCTGAAGAACAAAATCATTATGTCTTCAGTCTGTCTTTTGCACTTCACTTTTGTTTTGCACAACTCTTGCTTTGAAGTGCGCGTTGTTATTTTAGTTTGAATGATAACTTTGTTTTGATGAATTACTTAACTGTTAATTCTGATGTCTTAATCATTCTAATTACTGTTGCCATGATAACAGCAGTTGTTAAGTGATGACTAATGTAGCCCTTTCCTTACTAGCTTTCTCCTATCTAATCTAGTCATACGAATTTACGATATTTGTGACTTCAAAATCCTACAAGTACTATGTATTTTTTTCTTCTAAGATAAGCATTTTTATTCCTTTATTAAAGTATCCTTTGAATTAGCTTGTTGATCAGCAGAACTACACACACCCACATACAAATACATATAAAATTTGAGTACACAGTTTTGAACAGCAACAATAATTACAATAATCTAAGTTGAATCCCTCTTTTGATTTCACCATAAAGAAATAAAAAATAATTTCCTCTGCTGACTTGCTTTGTTTTGTGTGTTATTCATATTTTCTAGACTAGTCACTAAATAAAGTTAGTGCGTGTGAGTAAACACATTTAAACGCTTAAAAACATTGTGGTAAGTTATCACACACTTGATAAAAACAAATCACCTCATGTTGACTAACTTTGGTGTTGAGTTTTAATCACACTGAATCATCTTGCACAGTAAATGAAGCATTGCAGGATTGCGAAAAATGATGCATTTCGTCTGAAATAAGACAAGAGCCTGGCAGCAGATCGTTTATTGAGAAAATCAAGAGATATTTATAGATTTTTTTGTACATTATTATTCGTTATTACTAGCAGAGAAGCAACGTCTTCTAATTGGTTGTTTTCTTGCTGAAGGTTATTTTGTACTGCTTGTGACTGTTGCTTACAAAGTTATCCATATATCTGCGAATCGTATCTGCACACGCTGAGTCTGCCGTGATTGGTTGTTGAGTTCCTCAGGACAAGGCTTTGTTCTTGTTTTTTCTCATGACCCTGATTCCGGACGTGAACATAGACGTAAATTGTTGTTTACAATGTTGGCTTGCAGACAGCTCTCACCACAATTTGACCTAAGGATTTTTTATTATGTTGTGGGCTGGAATCTGACTCTTATAAGATAAATAGAAATCCAATTACCTCCGGACTCCATGATTTTTGAGTGGAAAATAACCTTAAATGAAAAGCTACAGGCGAAGCCCTCGATTTTATTTACTAGTAGCAATGTTGAATTTAAAAGTGCATAAACAAACAACCGGTGATTAGCCACTTGAAGCATAAAAGTCAGTTAAAAACGAAAGACCATTTAGTTGAAATTCAGTAAGAGTAAATAAATTTTTATAAAGTTGCATGAACTACTTACAGATAATTAATTTTTCAAAATTTATTATAACTTGATTCCACAGAGTACTTTGGTACAAGTATGGAATTCTCAGCATGTGATATGGGTAGCCCTAATTTGGCAGGCGGACCTGTGGAGTCCTCAAAAATAAACTTATCCAAATTTTACTATTATGTAAAAAATGAACATATTGTACACTACTTTGTTTTAACCAAAAACTCTGTACTTTGAACTTCCCTCGAGTTTTAAAAAAAAATATATATAATTCTGCCTTCGACTCTCCGTCTTCTCCACCATCTCAACTGCCGTCGATCAGTTATAACAACCTGCTTTCTATCTCGAATTTTTGCAGGAGCACCGTAGCCTCTTCCTAACCACTTTGGTCGACCTCCGGCAACGTCAACACTGGAGAATTAGAACTGGAGCAGTCTTCCCGCAGCACTTCTGGAATCCAGTACGTTTACTGTGGAATTTGGATCTTCGTTTTCTATTTGAATTTTAGGTAAATAAGCTAACAGAGCAAAAGGTCCACCACAGACCATTAATATCACGCGGGCGTCGGCCGGGGATCGATCTTCGGGCCATGTGTATGGTCGACGAGAGTCCTAACCGCTATACCACCGACGCGGCTAGGTATATACATGCCTTAAGGAGCGATTTAAGACTTAAGTGAAAGTATAAGACTGTAGCCTGGCTAGTTGTAAAGCACCTAACTTCAATGCTGACCATTTGACAAACACTTCTATGAGAACATTCGGCTTCTTCAAGATTTGGAGATATCTCTTACTGATGATCACCACCCCGCACTGAACACTGATTCAGCTCTCTCATAGAACTTCAGTTTACTCAACGATTTGTTCGTTCAAATAAACAAAATTAACTTTTTAATCAGTTAGACTGTGTATTCCAGTTTGAAATAAACATACTATTATTCGTCGATATAAGTAGTCCTTCATAATCACATTTTGATTGTTGTCTTTTTTATTTTCTTCACCATGTTCCAATACCCTAATCTATGCTTTCATCCTGGAGTTAAAGGTATTTCAGCAGACAGACAAAAATGGCGTGATTTTATTGATTTTCTTAATGCCATATCTCCGACACTGCTAGAAGGGATCATCAGAAATGGACTTTGTCAACGAACCAACCAAGAACCATTCGTCTAAAAAACATGTCTATGGAAAGGCGGATGGATTGGACACATAGTTAGGTGGCCGTTGAGTGACGTCACATGCCACACATTTGCAATGTTAAATGCCAACCATATTGGTCTTATCCTAGCAACAATGACGTTTTCAATGAAAGTATAGCTTTGTTCAAACACTGGTGTTGTTGTTGTGTTTTTTTCATCAGAGCAACCAGATTTTAAGCAAGCATCAGATGTGAACAAAGAGTTTTAGCATTAATGAAGGCCTAGGTGGTTCAGATAAAAAAGAGTTACATATTAATTCGATAAAATGATTATTGTCAAGTTCTGAAGTTAGGTAAATCCCAGAATTATTAGCTACAGCATTAATCACTGCGCATTGGATGCTGACCCTCACTGTTTACGTCGATTTGTTTACCTGAAACCTCACAGACAAGTATCCAGGCCATTTGGCACGCCATCGTGTTATGTTCGTTCGTTCATGCATGATTCCTAGCTAGTTAAGCTATCACCCTCACACACCGATTTAGTCCCCAAAATACTTCGTAATTTGAACGATCACTTCTGGTGTTTCACTTTGACTTTGGTGTCCACTCGTATTAAATATTACAGAAGTTGTGAGGTATTAGATCTTGCGTTGGTATACATCGTACTATCCGTGGACGGATAAACCCTCAGCCTCTAAAAGTCCCTATGTTCTAATCGGAACCCAAGGAAATAATAAATTAATTAAATGTGGTCAAAACCCAGGTATAAAAACCAACCGGTCAGAGCAGAGGATAAGTAATCATGTGCCGCTTTCTATTCTGTATTATTTAGCTTTAAATAGTTACATTCTTGTATTTTATTTTACTGACGACACTCACCACATTTCCTATTTTCTTCCATTCACATTTTCGAATGTACTCTCGCTTCCCGTCATGCATTTCACGCATGTCTATTGAACTTCATTCATAATTAATGTCAGTAGAAAGTGTTTGCGTTTTGAAATAAATCAAATCAATTATAATCATATTTCACTATTATAAACATAAACACGACTAATTAACTACCCTGCTATATTTCTAGCTGGTCCCATGCCCGGAAAGAGGGAGGGTTGGGCGTGAGGCAAGCAACTTCACACCACCAAACCTATCAAGCCGCCAGAGACACTTCAACGCACTCAAATAACAATCCCATTCCTCACTGGAATCGGAGAGGCGGAATGAAATCACGGGCTCGTGAAAGCCCGCCTTCGGGAAGCCAGTCAGCTGGACGATGTATCTTCTCTCTCTCTCTCTCGATGAAAGCAAGAACAAGAATAGGGACGTGGAATGTACGTACGATGTACGAGACTGGCTGAGAAGGCTACTCAGGTAGCCAAAGAAATGCGAAGATATGGCATAGAAGTGCTAGGTTTTTACGAGAGAAGATGCAATGGATGTGGATTATCAAAACTGTCAACTGGAGAGTCAGTAATCTAATCCGGTAACCAAGAGCACACTGACCGAGTGAGTGAGTAGCTATAATGATGTCACCAGCAGCAGCCAAATTCCAAATACAGTAGGACCAATCTCCCCACTCAGGATCATGACAGCAAGATTAAACTCAAAGGGAAGGCAGGAAGGAAGGTCACAGTTATCATGCAATGCTACACCCAGTGCTACAAACAACGTGGAACAAGAGAAGAAGGAAAATTTTTACAGATAACTACAAATAGTAATGGACAACATGCTGAATGGTGACATCAATGTACTCTTGGGTGATATGAAGGCCAGCTAAACTGGGAGCAGATAATACAGGGGGAGATTTCATCATGTGTCAAGAGGCTCTCAGTGAAGTGAATGAGAACGGAGAATTATTCGCAAACTTATGCGCTTTCAATGATTTGGTAATCGGAGGGAGTGTGTACAAGCATAAGGATATTCATGAAGCAACATGGATTTCGCCTGACGGACACACTGCAAACCAGATAGACTTCATCTAGTGCTGCTCAAGGAAGTGGGGATCCAGTCTGCTGGACACAGTGTCGAGAATGGGAGCAGATGTGGGCTCAGACCATCATGTTAACCAAGGAACCTTCATAGTGAAATTGAAATCCCTGAAAACAACTGTGGACAGGCCACTGCAATTCAGGTTCAACATTCAGAAACTGAAGGACGAAACTACAAGAAATGGCTTCACTGGAGTCATCACAGTAACATTGGAGACATTACTTAGCATTACTGAGGTAACCAGTGTGTGCATGTGTGTGGAAGAACACTGGAACCCTCTGAAGGCGATATCCAAGGAAACGTGTAAAAATGTTCTAGGAAGAAAGAAGAGACAAGACAAGGAGTACTCTCAACAGTTATCTGGAAGCTAATCGAGGAGAGGAGGATTGAGAAAGGTGTAACTCAATGCAAAGACGGACAACAGAAGGAGAAGCTTAGTTCACAGCAATGTACACTGCACTGAACAAAGAAGTGAAGAAGAGTGCTAGGAAAGATGAAAGACAACTTTAGGATACACTGGCTGGAAAGTGTGCAAGTATAAGAGACCTCAGAACATTAGACCAGATAATCAGGTGTCTATCTGGGAAGAGGTCAACCCAGATGTTGAAACCCACAAAACATGTTCAAGGGAACCTGATTACCAAGGAGGAGAAACAAATAAGACATTGGCCTGATCACTTCAAGGGACTCTTGAGTCAACCATCACCTGCAACTCGCCCACAAATACCAACAACAACAACACTCACGGAGCTGCCTCTCAGTGGACACCACTCTTCCAACAAAGGCAGAAGTGCTGAAGGCGATCAAGCTAATGAACGTTAGTTGGAAAGGCAGCAGGAACAGACGGAATTCCCCACTTACCCGAAGCACTGAAAACAGACCCAAAGACCACGCCAGATTTGCTCAATACTCAAGGTCAGATGGCCAGAAAAGATCAGAGATCTCTGGGAGTGAACCAACCAGGAACCGATTGTGAAACAAATAGGCAGGAAGAAGTGGAGATGGACTGGCCACCTCAACTTCATTGACTTCGAAAAAGCCTTCGGCAGATAGCGTTGACTGAGAAGTAACCCAGGAACTGCTTAACCACTACGGCGTGCAGTGCCCAAGTCTTTATCAACCTCATTCAAACGCTGGCTATATGACAATGCCACGTGTCAGATGATCCACAGCAGAAGATTCAACGAGGCATTCAAAGTGAAGACAGGAAGAAGCAAAATAAGGCTGCCCATTATATGTATCAAAAATGGCGATATCCCTATTTGAGGTGGACTGGATTGTGCCTCAGACTGTGCATGGGATTGAAATTACGAGAATACGCCACACTAACGGATAAGAAGAATAAAGAAGATCTGGATTTCACGTGTGGATGATTTATGGTTAATGTTACACAAAGTCGAAGACTTACAGGCAAAAACCAAAAAACTGGCTGAAGAAGTAGCCACAGGAGACAGGGCTCCACATGAAGTGAACATAGACAAGACGGAGCTGATGAAGATAAACAACGAACAGCAACAGCAACCAGCACCAATCACAATCAATGGGAGAGATTTGACAGAAGTGTAATTTCCCTCACTCATCTAGAAAGCTTGGCTTCAACCACTGGGAGTCGGAACGGATGAAGATGTCAAAACCAGCCAGCCAACCAGAATCGGAAAGACAAGATACAACTGCATCAATCTGAAGCCACTGTGGAAATCTTCTGCTGTCCCTCAGCATAGGCAACAAGATTCGAATTTTCAACACAAATGTTAAGTTAGTCAGTGCTTCTATATGAGTCTGAAGCTGGCACTACATTTCACAGAAATGATTTCCAACAAATTACAGAATTTTATCAACAGCTGCTCCCTCCACTGGCTCCATACTGAAGCTAAAATGGCTAGCCGGCCGGCCAGGTGGAACTGGCAGCAAGAAAATCTGCTATGAATCAACCAAGAGCTGATCGCTCAACAAATATGCAGGAGAAAATATAAATGGATCAGGGGTACATTGAAGAGACCGTCGAATGGCATGGCGCGTGATGCAGGCCAATGCTTGATTGGAATCCAAATGGGAATTGACGACAGGACTGTCTGTATGAGAGTGACATGGAGGAGATCGTGTTGGGAGGAGGTGAGATATTATGAGAACTTGCTGATGTGGCTGAAGAGGACGGCAGAAAATAGAAGAAAGTGGGTATGTGTTTTTGAAGGCCTATGTTCCACCTGGAACACAAAAGGAATAATAATAATATAAACTTATAATTACATTAGATGTCCAGTACTCCTTGGTTTTCAATGGTTCTCTTCTTGATATCAATCTGTGATCAACTCGTAAAAAAAACATAATTACCAACGTAATATATAGAGCAAAATTATTGCCCGCGGCCAAATAAAATGTTGGAATTTTTCTTAATTTGCACTTATTCCTTTTATCTATATGCTTATTCATATGGCAATCATTTTTGCCTCATAATCATCTACACCAGTATAATCGCACTTTAGTATTTCCACTCACTGTCAAACCTAAGCATACACAATGAAAATAATGGAATTACATTAACGAAGTTGAAAGGTTGTGTGGCTAACTCGATATGATTATGAACAGTGAACAGTGACCGAAACGCTGTCAGTAAATAATACTACCTACCAGTGTGTGATTTTATCAAATACATTTACTCATTATCATACCGAAGGAAAGGTGGCTTAATATTGGAATATCACACATTAAGGAACAATATAGGGCTGATACTTCTAAAATTCTCTCAAGGATGCCTTACCGAAAACATCGCAAAAGAGTGCTGGGACTGTAGCCTAATAAAATAAATGATAGCTCCCAATCCTTACACAGGATTGTCCACGACTGGAACTCTTCACCTAACAAAGTATTATTAACTTCATCTTCAAAGAGGAATTAGATCTCTTCAGAGACAGCTGGTGCAAGCATTAACACAAGCCACAATGGCTCGCCATCTCTTTTATCTGGAACTGTACATTGGCCAGATAATCGAAACTAAAACAAAAGGCGGGTACACGAAGTCGCAAGCTGATGTCGGTGATGAAATCTGCAATGGAACTAGAAGTGGGAGAAAACCTAGATGTCCAGAACTATATATCTCTCTGCATCTCGAATGGTGATATTGCAGTTGTTCTCTGGAATGCATCGACGCATATACTGCAGTACTGTCCTGATAACTCATTAGAAGTTGAGGATATGCGATTAAAACAGAGTATGACAATATTTTTTCTAACCTTACAGTGATTCACCGTGCCAAACCAACAGTACTTCTTGCCACAGAAACAACTTTTGATACACTGAAGTCAGTGCTGTGTATTGAGAGTAAGAGTCTAGACTACTATACTTAAAGCGTCTGAACTTTTTAAAATACTGACAGATACTTCAGAAGTGTGTAAAGAAGTCGTTCCTGAAAATTACTTTAGTAAGACCTCCTTACACCTTAACCATCTTCAGCGGAGGAATTTCTGGAAGATTCTTGCCATTTGTTGAGGATTTCTTCTATGCCCCCCAATCTGGATGAGTTTGGGAAGACGATTTTCGTGAAGTCATTGTTCCAAGTTAATTCAAGCCTAGTGGTTTGTTCAGATTTAAAACCTGACGCATGACAGTTGAAAGCTCTAGGTGGTTTGGTGTTCAAGATAGCTGTGTCCAAAAACACGCAAAGTGATGATTTGAATAACAGTCTGTTACAGATAACGGATATACAGATTTTCAATAAGTAATTCATATTTTGTGTACTGACGGAATGTTTTAGTCAAGACATGTTATTCATTAATAGAGTTACTTTACAACACTTGGAGATTTTCAAATGCTTTGAAAGAATTGAGGAAACAATCATGCCTAACTCAATGAGTGATCCAGTGTCTAGCCTATTCAGTAAGCAGACACTTTTACTTCATTTCCAGAAATAATAAATCACTGTGTGACAACTCAAGGTAAAGCAGAATTAAGAAAGTGGATGCACTTTCCTCTGCGGAACAACAGATCAATTAAACAAAGATTGGATGCAGTGGAATTTCTTCTAGAGTACAAAGGTGGAGAAGTACTAACCATAATTAGATCTATTCTGAGAAAGACTGGAAATATGCAGGTATTTCTGACAGTCTTTCTATTTGACAGAGGTTGGATACGTTTACTTACAAATTTGCCGACCATTTTGTTTGCCTTTCATTCAAACGATTCTAAAATATGTAACTAATATCCGACTTTCCATCAAACAGCTATGTGAAGTTAGTGCAAACTGCAATACTACTGTATGTTCCACTGAACGATTTCCTGGTAAAAGCATTGCGTATCAAATAAGGATGTATTATTTTCCATTATACGGCCGCCAATAGCCGGATTCATCAGTTTACGTTTACAGTGAAAGAGTAGTGCGAGATCATACTGTATAAGAAGCACTGCGCCCATCTAACGACCTATCAGTTTGTGCAGTATAGATAATGACTGTTTGTCAATCGGTTACTGACAGAGCCGTTAAGAAATAATTTATAGCTGAGTGTAAATGAGTCATTCAAGAAGGCACTTGGGTAACCTCTGGAGAAGCTTTACAGCTGATGTTTGTTTACGCTAACAACAACAAATACGGCCTGTCCTGAAGAAAGATTCACTCAGTTGTCGGTAGGCAGAAATCATTATTCCAGGAATTTATGTAGGTAGAAAAGTGCTGTGTAGCTCAGAGTCGCTATCATAGATATGCATTATGCGCACCATGCAAAATTACACATTATTCACACTAACGTTGTAACTTTTAATGCGAATTTGTAATGTAAGAGGCAAAACCGTTTCAAAATCACTTCGATGTGAAAGTTTAATGTACAAACGAAACATTAAAGTCAAATGGGTATAGTTGAAGTGTTTCTTTAGTAATATGCCTTCAGAATGAGTCGGTTACAAACTACCGAGGTTCTCTGAAAAGTTTCAAAACGTACTTGTCACAACTGTCTTTTTTTGATGTCCTCTATGTTGAATTTCTTAATATATATGAATATTTCTCTTCTAAGTTCATACCAATATGATTTTGCTCGACCGAAACGGATAAAGTTTACAGAGCGAATTGTTGTATGCTTTTTGTTACGAGCATGCAAACTATAGTAACACTCAGTCCATTCTCTCAGTGACTGAAAAAATCAAACATTCACCTATGAGTTTAGTTGTCACCAAAAGATAGCTTTCAGGGAAGTGATAGCCTTATTTCATTTTCTGGATTCCGCTTGAAGAACACAAGACGTGCTGATTAGTTTCGTTTGCTATGCTACATTGTATCGGCACCTATCACAACAAAGAAATCAAGCAACATCCTCTAAAGTCCTTTTCACAATTAAATACATTCGGAGTAAACACAAAGTGTAATTTAACCTGAACAAGGCGTCCAAAACTAAGGGACGGCTTTTCACTGAACCTAATCGAAGCACCCACCGAAAAACTGAAAACAACACACGATGAAAATATGTATTGAATTTATTGAACAATTTCTTTCTTATTTGCAGGCGGTTACTCATGTACTTAGTTTCCGATTGCAGTTGGTTGAAGGTCTGTTTTCAAAAAACCGCAAAACCAAACAGTCACTGTAGATCAAAAGCGTTGATTTTTAAGAAACTGTTTACAACAGTTAGCCAATAGATCTAATGTATTTATACAATTCGAAATACGAAAGTTTCCAATACGAATGGATAATGCATGCTGATATTCTTGAATTTTTATAATATTTTGATCATAAGATGGGCAGATTTCCAACTTTTTGGATAGTACTTACATTTTGTCACATTTTACTGAAACGATATTAGGGTGATGTTGAGTGGAATTAAGTGTAGACTGACATAGACCTCAAGTCAGTATCATTTGAATGACTAAATCCACTGAGCTTAAATATTTTGCGACTGACCACAACTTCATTTCATCACTATGATTATCAAGGGAACACATCAGTAGTTCATAGACTACTGGCTTGAACTCTACTGAAATTCAGCCTATTGTTTCAGATTTAATAACCATCACATGAAGCCAGTTTACTGAAGTGGTCCTATTTTGTAGAGCGTGACCGAAAATATTCACATTTCAACATTATAAGTCATTCAGAAGTGAAATCGTCACTATCCGATTAAGCAGTCTATTCCGAACATTACAACAAATCACATTCTAGGCAGAAAATATGTTACTCAATTTCACTCAGTAATGTTAGCAAAATAATTCTTGAGGGCGTAAGTGTTTACAATAACATTCAATATGATAATGAAAAGCGGTTTTCTGAAGTAGTATTCCATTGCACTTTGACACTTTTCAGAAAATTATTCTCAGAATTCAGGCGTTATCGGATTTATCAAGTGACTGGAAATTAATAATACAAGTAAAGTCATTTATCACACCAAACAGTTTGATATAAAAGACGTTAGATTCACTCAAAAAGCTTATTGACTTTTGTGGAATGTATCAAGAGAAGCTGTATCCAGTCCGAGAATTACTGAGAGAGAATTTCGATAGAAGGTTGCTGGAGAACTTGAGGTCTTGGATAATTCATGTAGTCGAAACAGAAAGAACTAGAAGACAACAAAAATTTGCTATTCGGAGCGGAGTGGATCCTACTTTGGATCAGTGTAAGTATAATATTTTTGTCAAATGTTTGCGTTTCAACAATAATACAACAAAAGTTGAGGGCACTTAATAATAGCAGGCGGAAATGAAGTAGAACTACGGACGACTCCTACAGATTAAACTAATAGTTTGGGCTTTAGTTTACAGTTTCACAACTCATTAATATAGCTTATGCACTTTGTACTCACCCTTTCGCACAATGTAGCAAAACTGTGACCAGTAGACACTATACATCAGCACTAATGATGTCAATAAGATGAAATTCTCTGAAGATCATATTCTGAACTAGCTGTAAACACAGCAGTTCTTTCCCAGTTAAGCAGTCGTTAAAAGTGCACACTTATTACTTCTGAATTGGGTCACGCCATCGAGGCAAATGAAATGCATACCAAGGATGTTCAAAGCCTTACTTACGTGACACATAGGAATGTGGACTTCACCACATATAAGCCTAGTCCTTATTGAGAATACTTTCAGTAAGTCAAAAAGACAAAAATGAATCTAACCAGCCGAGAGATCGAACTGGCAATCAAATATTTTTTAAACTATCTGACATCACTGTGAATATGTTCATTTTGTCGACAGTTCAGTTACAATTTAACCTCTTATACTGCAGAAACACAACATTAACCAACAGTATTAGATTAACAATAATAGTAATGATGCCTTTTATTTCATTTACAGGGAATGAAACATACACATGTCTGCCAGATTTGTTATCACATCTGGCGGAAGGTCAAATAACGGAACTTCGTGCAAATATACGAACATGTGGGCTAGTTTACTTCCCCATGGTACGTTTCTCTTGAGTGTGAAAACTAAAATACCTACTTATTATGAACTTGCATAATTTTGTTTTCTACAGGTCGGTTATTTGTTGAAAATTCCGAAAGTCGAAGTGGAAACACCTGACATACATATTAGCTGTTTGGAATTCGCAGTAAGTTATTGACTACTATGCACACTGATGTTTTTCTCATTCAGTGCATTATCATTATAACTATGAGTGATTTCATTGAAATTCCAGTCCAGTTTATAGTCCCTCACTTTACTGTTACTAACATACAAGACGAAAAACATTCTTATGATTACTATGTTAAGTTGTGTCGCTGGTACGTTCAGTCAAGTGCTATCATGATACCTCCCGACTTAAGGATTCAAACGACGCCATAGGAGTATGAAACCATGCTGCCTGGATGCAAGTATCTACTCTGGTAAAACACGATGCGACGTATTACTTCAGACTAGATTAGCGATTTTTGTGTTGTGTCTGACTGACTGATTGAGCTTCAACATGGAACATGGCACACAAGTGCAACGGTTCAAGTTACTGCAACCCAGATAAAAAAAGAGACAAAATAATAATTATTATAATGCGCAGAAATGTCAGTGCGAAGGACAGGGACATGGAGAAACATAACAGAGAGTGAATACATCTGCAGCATTGAGAACAATCATAAACCATAAAACCAACAGTCTCCAGTCATTGAACCTTAGCGTCCTCCGGACTCCAACCAGGGAGTCTACATAGCTCAAATCAACTGACAAAGAACTGATGGACTGATGCTGGATTTTAGTTTGACCATCCCTAACTATTTTCCAGCCTCAGTCCACCTCGACTAACATTGCTCTTCGGAGAAAGCGATAGCTGCTCATGCGCAACATATGTCCTGGTCATCTCAACTGATGTAGCTTCACATCTTCATTGATTGACTTAATCTATTTACCTAACACTCTGAGTATTACTCACCACATCGTACTACTTAACACGAGAGATAGAACTCAAATACCTGTGGCCAAAGACAGCCAGCCTCTTTCATATCTTCCGCTTTCAATGACCATGTCTCACAGCCACTGAGGAGGACAGAGAGAACTTCTGCGCAGTACTCACATTCTTTCACTGATCCATGTGTTGTGTGTATTACATCTTTTATGCTAACACAATGACGTTGTCGTTTTCTTCATCACTCAACTTTCAAACAGTGGGACCGACTGCACCTACCTTAGTCCAAGTGACGGCATAACAGTATCAGCCCAAAAGACATTCATGTAGCTCATAGCCTAGTATATGCCACCTATATTAAGAATGTTACATAGAATGCCATGAGTTGCCCTCAAAATAGAACATAAGGGCAGCTCAACCTTCCTGAAGAATATCCCATCACACTGAACTACACCCATACATGCTGGAATAAGAGGGCATAGTCTGAGTCTTGTAGAAGACTAAACGTACAATTCAAAGATGAGATACCGATGTTATACAATAATGAAATGAAAAGTGGGTGTGTTTAAGAATTTTCACTTGTTTTTATAATTTCAGTTTACAGAGACGAAAATAGCATACTATCGAAACGATACTACACGCAGTAAGTGGTCACATCAAAAATCAATTCGCACTTCACTTTGTTTCAGCACTTGATCGGCGATACGGAGATGTGATGTACAGTATTGTTGGTAAGTATTTTATGATAAAATAAACCTTGCTTTGAATAAATGTTTTCATCTGACGGTCGAAATACGAGGGCAAGCCTGTATACATTACATTAATATGACAAGATGAATAACAAGAAACTTTGCAAGGCTGCACGAAAAGGGTACAAACGACAAATAAATGTGATTCGATGGGAGATAAAAAGGGAACCAAGAAAGATTTTCAGAGTCTGGTTGACAAAGAGTGAATACAAGGCTTACGTGTTAAGTGCTGACACAAATTAAGCTCATTGTAGGTTCAGTGACTGGGCACACTCATTACACAGACATAGTTCACTATTTAGCATTTGGACTGCACACATAGGTTTCTTCGGTCACTGGACCCACAATGGGCTTGACTTGTCACAACACTTGGTACGTAAGTTTCATCCGTCCCACAACTAGAATTCTACTCCTCACTACACTGATCTTAACTTGACCCTCTTTCAAATTTTGTTGAGCTTTCTCTACGGACCATAATTTACAAATTAGAATTATATACTCAAGATGTGTGACTAAGTGAGACTTAGTTTAAGCACTTTAATCCACGTGGGGGCTGGCTTTCAGATCACTTAAAACCACATAAGTTATAAGCAAAATCGATGGGAATTTCGTAATACGTGTGTGTGACGACAACTAAGCTTGTCGCTTCTCACTTAGCTCACTGATGGAGGACACTTCAAGCAATTTTAGTGAAGCTCACAGGATGTTGTTGTCGTGGTGAAGATGTCTGCATTGTTTATTTTCCCAGGATCCTTCCTAGTGACACTTTGTCTACTCACGCCTTATTCACTTATTTACTTAAGTGTTTGATCAGTTTTACTTATCCATTTGATTACAACTTGGAATATGATACTTTGACGGCATTTCTACCACTCTATCGTTGCTACTAAGACGAAAAACTAACTTCATAATCCGTGTGAAAATCCATACTGTTTTGATTAACCAATTCTTCTATGTATGCCAAAAAAACAAAAATTAATTTGAGTCAGACATCATCAGTTGTCAGGAACAACAAATAAAGTTGGTACTGAAATGCGAACAATTTACACTGCAGCAAGTTTTGGCAAGATGACAGTTCGTATTTCCAACACCTATAGCATGATGATAACCATGCAAAAAAGAGGAAAATGTATAACAGTGCAACTAAACAAAGTGAGATATGTATATGAACGTGATTTGCTGGCTCAGGTACTCGACTATCATACGACGCCCTGGTTTACATTACACTTTCTCTCTGAAGTATAACCTATCTGCAACATCAAGTGCGAATAGAAGTATGGTGGTACAAGACTCCACTACAGCAATAAAACTTCACTTTCTCTATACGTGTACCAGGAAATAGGACTCTACTAGTTGTAAGTGGTCCGCTAAAATTTCCTGATTACAGAGGTGTAAATAAGTGAATTTTCCAATCCACAATCTATTTTTCGATACTGCAGTGACTAAGTCATTGAACCACATTCGCAACGGATATAAAAAGACTGGCAACATGTAACACATTGCGGCACATAAAAATGTTAAGGGCCTACGACACCTGGTCACCTTTATCACTTTCAGCCGTCTCCTCAGCCACCTGAAAAATAAGTTTACGAGGCGATTAATCAGAAAATCATACTTGATAATTAATAAAAACTTAGTTTTACACTGTATTACATCTACATCTACTTTAACTAAACACATTTGGTTTTCCTTTCACACACGAAAATTTTAGATACGGAGACCACAATTATGCGGCACCTGCAGCGTCGCTTACTAATTCACGCACAAAGCTTACTTCGCGCATCACAATTTTCTGCAGAAATTGATTGGTAAGTTCAATTTTTCTATCTTTTATCCACTCTGACAGTTTTCCAAAACCAAATAGCGCCAAGCAGATTCATAAAGTAGTTATTTGACAGAGTATGTCAGACTAACCATAACACACTGATATGGACATGTGGCTATGCTTAAGAAGCCATGACGGGTCATCATTAATAAACAGGAGGTTTTATATTTTCAGTAAGTTAAAGTGAGGCAGACACGGAATGCTAAAGTAGTGGGTGCAACTAGCCTCTCAACTATTCATAGACTCAAATTAAGGTGAACATTTGCAAATCGCAAGGTATTTTGCTGGTGGCCTGACAGAACAATTTATTCAACATAATCACAAAAATCTCCCAATTGCAAGACACACAAACCATCGTTTACGTATGCAAAGGACTGTGACAGTGAAACTGCATAAGTCACTTTACTTAAGTCATTGACCAATAGAAAATACAGTATCATAGCCACTACTTTCCTGAGTCGGGCTACATTTCAGCAGTTGGCACATCATGAGTGACCGACAGCACTCATTGTGTAGCTTAAAATTCATGTGACTAGAATGATTAATCAACAATCTGGAGGCGCTTGAGGTGGGTACAGAAACGCACCACATCCAACAGTCAAAATGAGAAGTGAACCAACTTAGAATCCTTCTTGCGTCACCAACCTAGCCACCATGAACATGGTAGCCGGCTGTTAGTTCTCCTTTTTTTCCAACACATAAATCAACATCAATCGTATATAGAGTAGATTTAATAAGCGTGAATATGTTTTGTACTACAGTCGCAAAATTGAGCAATACAAATACCGCAATTGTACCTATTTGTTTCAGTCTATGCTCACTTGCGATAGCTGCTAAGTCTAAGGACTGGAAAAAACCGAAGTTAGCAGAAGACGACTTAATACACATCCGTTCTGGGCGTCACCCAATACAAGAAACGCGATGCAAAAACATTATCAAGAATTCATTCTATGCAGATGCTTCGAAGCACAGAATCACTTTCCTTACTGGACCAAACGGTAGTGGAAAAAGCACATATATGAAACAGGTAAGACTAACTTTATGCACAGACTAAGAAAGTAATCAATGTAATCCTATTTATCACTGTAATGCTTCTCACACAAGTGGTTAACACCACAGGTGGTATTAGCTTGTCAGATAGACAAGAACATTTACGATGTTATCAATGAAGACGACTACTTCGTTCAGAACTCATCGCTTCGGAGAAAATATTTAGTGACTTTCACTTGGAGAGAACAGCGATACAGAATACAGAGACTCACGTAATACTCCCCGTAGTGTAGTTAACAAAGTAGCCTCATCACATCAAAGTGGTTTTAGCGACTATATCCATTCCCAGCTGGGAAGAACAATCTTCACCTTAATACAAACGTCAAAGCAGTAATTACAGTCTTCTTCACGACAACTGTATCTGTAGAAATGAAAACAAGAGGTCCTGACAGGGACCTCTCCAACGAATTCGCTACAATTTGATCGTACAACCTCATATATATATATACCATTGCACAACTTAGTAATAAGGTCACTGAAAAATGTCTGTCCATTAAATAACTTGCTTTCATTTTCTACAACCGTATTTCTCGCTTTTGATTCACAGAAGGCAATAGGATACGACGAATACAGCTTCGCTACCTTAAAAAGGCTGTCGTGTGTGAGTAAATGTGCACACGTCAGACTGTAAAAAAGGCGATCAAAAGAAGGTTTGACAGGGATCCATAAAGTTGCTATGAATACAGACTTAAGATTAGGGTGGCAAACATTTAAGCTCCAGAGTGAATCACAGTACCTCACTGCATTTCGATTACGGTCCCTTACTCAACTTAGTTTCGCCGAATATATTGGATTCGTGTTTCAGTCCTAAACTTAGTTTGACTATTTGGACTTGCTTACTTACTTGAACTAGGCCCTGCACATCGAATAGGATTGTATTCACATTAACAAATTTATGCCCTAATAACTGTTTACGAAACATTTCTGCACGCTACAGTTTATTACTTCGTTCGTTCTCTTGTAGATCGCCTTAATAATATACCTCACACAAATAGGAAGTTATGTACCAGCTGAGGAGGCAGTTATCTCACCACTTGACGCAATATACATACTCACAGGTACAGGCTCCGAGAAGGAAGATGATTGCTCAGCATACATATCAGCTCTTCACTCAGTGTCCGTTGCTTTACGAACACCAACAAAGAGAACACTCCTGGTGATGGACGAGTTTGCTAGTGTAGTTGACAAGGTATTTTGTGTAATTACTATCTTGCTTAATTACTTTTAAACCGTGTTTTAGTTGGAACTTAATGCACTTACAACAGCCATAGTTGAATTCCTCCTAAACCTTGGAGAATGTCCGTTCGCTGTCATAGCCACCCACAACTATGGAATTTTGAAACACTTTCAAGTGTCTGGACCACGAGTACAATACTTGGTAAGTCGCTACCACTAAATAAAAGTGACTTCTCACCACATTAAGACAATGAAGACGACAACTCATGAGGGGAAATTGCTATGTCTGTACGAAGTTACTAACGGCATAACCTCAGAAAGTGAAACAATTACAATAGCCAAGAATATCGGACTTCCACAAGGAGTAATAGAAAGAGCACTGGAACTGAGGAATTCCCCAGCTGTAATGAATCTCAAATTTGTGGAAGCCAGAATTAAAAAGTAAGTTTTCACAATTGAGCTTAATTTTTTTCAGAGTGAAAAAAGCGATGAAGATACTGCGAATAAATATTGCCAATAAAAGTACCACGCCACTGGGAAATATGCAAAATTTATTTTGCCGTCATCGTCGTCGTCAAAGGCTGAGACTGAAGAATGATGGTCGGTCATCTCACTAATAATGACGATTAATAACAGCACGGTCTTTTTGGCTTATAACCCGTTTACTTTATTCAGTGTTTGTTTACATAAAAGTTTTCGAAAACTCGAATGGATTATTGCAATTAGTTATACTGACAACACCTAAACATAAAAAATTTTAAAAAACTACTTGCCTTCTGTCTATTGAAAAAAGTCTCAAAATAGTAATTATAATAATAACAAGGATCAGGGGGCATATTGTAGAGGGGTGATAAGTTATTTCAAGTGTGAAATAAAAAAATAAAAGGATGTTCTAAGGCTTTGGAACAGGTAATTCGTTCAGTCGAAATGTACATAAGCATTTCTTTAACGAGATCAAAAGCTAGGCATTTGTAACGAACCAAACTAGAACACCAGTAATCTCACAAAGGCTTCAATGCTCTCCTGAAATAACGAGACTCAGATGAAGTGGGTGACCAATCTAACCGACCATGGCGGAAATATCTTCGTCGACAAGATGCTTTTGTCAAAAACTTAGGAAGCGTTGCTAGCACACGTTCCATCATAGCAAGGTGTTCCAGATTATCATGTGTCATAAAAAGGTACCGTCCCGTTACAAGTTCATATAGAATACATCCTACAGACCACACATCGGCCGACCGATTCCAGCCAAGCTCCATCACGACTTTCGGTGCACGATAATGTCGAGTTTGAATAGTGGTTGAGTGGTGATCACTGTCGAAGGTAGCTGACCCAAAATCTATAACTTTTATATATTGATGATGTATTCTCCGAACAGGTTTGCCACGATGATTATCAAATACTTCGTCGTAACTGCCATCGATCGACGAACAAAATATTTTCCTGTTTGAGATCTGTATGTGTAAGCTTATTTCGATGCAAAAATGCAACAGCTTCACAAATTTGTCCGGTAATTATTGCACATTGTTCAATAGGATAGGGCTCATAACCATTTTCCTCAAGAAACGTGAAAACACTTGGACCAAGCAGAGGAAAAACAATATAAAAGTGATCATGCCACTCGAAAAAGTCTATTGATGATATGCAGTGAGATTGATTCTTCGCATCTAGTTTTGCAATGGATTCTAAGACTTCAAGCTCATGGCGAGCAGCACCACTGTAATCACCCTGAGGTTTCAGAGCCTTTACAGCCGTCAAGGAATTTGTGTATAAGTCGAAACATTCAAAAACTTGCCCGTATCTACCCTCTCCTAGTATCTTGTTCACACGAAAGTAGCATGTGCAGCATGAGATCATAACGTCTGCTGGACGACATGTGAAAGACTTGTTAAGCGTCTCAGCATTAACTGAAGAGGGATCATTATATATTGCCTTACCACAGCTGATTTCCTTAAACAGCTTCTACTTATTTGATAAGATTTCGCATGATAACATTTCTAGTCATGGATCATATTCAATCTCTGTATTTCTGATTTAATTAAAATACTCACTCTTTTGACACCAGGAATGTCTTTCAATTTGTATAATCTTTCTTTTCCCATATTGACACTGCGATAGCGCCAGAAATGGCCTAGGTATCCATATACTTTGCCTTCTCCTATACTACCAGGCATTTCATATGTCACACATCCGTCAGCATTCACATAACTACCCACATTTAGGAATTTATTGGCCAATTCTGATGATTCGCCTTAGGGCATAATGGCATCTAGACGCTCCTGCGAATATCTCAACAATACACACTTACAGCCAGCTGATTAAGTGCGATCTGAGTAACCTGTATGCCATCACACAGTAAGGTGATATCCGCTGAATAATTCAGATCAGAGAATCCTTCTCAAGCCAGCAGGTCTACACAATCACCACTCACATTCCTCAGAGCCGTCTCTAGAATGTCACCTGTGACAAAGTTAAGGAGAACCAGTGACATTGAATAGCCTTGTTTAATTCTACTGTTGGTCTAGAGCTGAGGGTGATTCCCTGATTGTACCTGAAATTACGAAATACACCCATTTATCGATTGGCAAGGAAGTATACAGTTCTTTTCTTGATGAAATGATCCCATCTAACGACTTGATTTTCAAGCAGTACACTGGCATCAGAAACTGCTCAGCCAATATGCACAGAATAAGAATAGAGATAGAATTAACATGACTTTTAGGGAAACAGAGTAGTAATGGATGAATTAAAAGCTTTCTCAGGGATTATCATACAAGTCAGTTGACATTGGAAGCATAAACTCAGGAATACTAACTGATCATTTAGAAGGGTTACTAGTGGGACTCACGTGTAATGTGTCATTTCCATTGAACAGTATAGTCTATGACGAGAGTGACGCAATCTCAGTGTGGTCTCACTTAGAGCCTCACCTAGATGATGCCTTCACGGCGAGCCTAGAAAATGTTCGGCTGGAAGAAATTATCTCGAAGCTACATTTCTATAAAAGATATTTGAAAGACACTTGTATTGCTTGTGATGATGAGAGTTCAGGTGTTGACCTGCTCAGACAATTTGAAGACTGTCACTCACCATCTGTGCTTCTCACTATCAAACACAGCATTTCACTTCGCAGACTTTATATTAAACAGGATAGATGATAGCTCATTGAAAAGCCGATCTGCAGAAAACCAAGCTTCGCAGGGCAGTCCACTAACTTCACAAGTTATGAACCTCTAAGTAGAAAGAGCAACTCTATCCACTCCTGTCTGTGTGTCTGGATTCAACATAGAACTTGGCATCGAAGTGCAGCAGTTCGAGTTGCCACGTTCCAAATAGCACACAAAGGTAGACAAGAAGATGAGTGAAGAGAATCAATAGAGTTTTGACAAGCATAAGAGTGAAACAGAATGAGTAATGGTAGAAAGGAATATGAAAGATTACAGAGACTGAATACATCTGCGCAAGCCATTGACAACGATTTTGAACCATGTCACCTATTGTCTCCAGCCATTGATTCTTTGAGTCCCCAGGGCCCCAACCCGGAAGTCTGCATCTCCCTACCTGACTCAGTTTAACTGTCAGGGATTTCATGGACTGATGCCATGTTTTTGTTTGGCCACCACTTATTCTTTTCCAACCTGTACTTATATCAGCTAGTAATGCCCGTCGGGTGAGGCGATGGTTAGGTATGCGTAGCACGTGACGTAGCCATCTCAGTCTATGTAACTTCATAGCCTCTTCGATTGATTTTCCCTCTTTGCCCAACACTCTACGCCTAACGTCAACATTCCTTACCTTATTGTGCCACCTAACTTGAGAAAGAGATCGTAAACATCTATGATCAAAAACAGACAACCTTTTCATGTCTTCAACTCGTATTGGCCATGTTTCAGAGCCCAAGAGAAGGACGGAGCGAACTGCTGAGTAGTACACACGTCCCTTGATTGATAACCGGATGTCATGCCTACGGCAGAGACGGTGTAAGTTAGCGAAAGCAGCCCGAGCCTTTTGGATCCGTGATGAGATTTCGTCACCAATCAATCCGTTGGTGCTGATACAACTTCCCAAATAGATGGAGTGGTCAACATGTTCTATCACTTCACTCCCTATCACTAAGCTAGGAGTTGTCGCAGTCCAGTCCTGTAGCAGCATCTTACATTTTACAGGGGCGAATCGCATGCCAAACATACGAAGATTGCTGCTCAAGGTGTTCAGAAGACTCTGTATTTTGTCGGCATCCTCCCCTAACAGGACTGTCATCTGCATATTCGAAGTCCATAAGACTATTCCCTGGTAACAAGTCGATTCCTAAGTCGTTAAGTTCAGTTAAGCATACTTCCATTAGCATATCTAAGATGAAGTTAAACAGAAATAGGGGAAAGTGGACATCCTTGACGGACACCACTGGTTGTTATCAATTCAGGTGACAATTCCCCATAAGCCCTTACACAGCTACGTGAGTTTGAGTAGAGTGCCTTGATTAGTGCAATGTACTTTCTTGGCACTCCCTTCACAATCAAACATTGCCACAGTACTTCTCGATCCACGGAGTCGAAGGCCGTCTTTAAGTCAAGAAATATGGCAATTTTCGCACACCTAAAAGTGTGTCTATGTTCTAGGATCTGTCGGAGAGTGAAGATATGATCTATGCACCCTCTACCTGGCCTGAAGCCCGCTTGATTTTTCCTCGTCCGTTCCTCCCGAGTTCGGCTTAGTTTGTGCATGACTACTGAGCCTAACTATCCACTCCATATGTTCAGGAGTTCTAAAAATCTGCGCTTAAGATATGGTTGACAAAGTACCCGTAAACCCCCCTATAACATCTTTAAATAATCAGTATCCTAGACGGTTTATTGAAAGAAATATGAGGGAACAAATCATTGCTAGCCAAATCATGGTGCCACTAGATGACTGGAGGCGATCACCATGAAGCTTTGGACCTAGGTTTCGTGCTTCTCGACACCACGCGTCAGTACATTGCAAACTTGACTGATAGGATTCAGTCTTCAGCAGACAAAGGACTACCTACACACATAACATTAGTCTCTTACTACCCAGTGCTTAAATAAAAAAAAATCACAGTGCCAACACACATACACATCATTTATGAGTTTCACCCTTATAAGTGACACCATCACTGTTGTAATCGAAAGTCATCTATGAAATTGTATTAAACGCTCTTTTCATGCTACTGACTTGCATTTAGCATTCTCCGGCCAAAGTATTATTCAACAAGACATCAAGCGTAAGCTGCCACTTATCTTCACCCCGATATGCATCTGCTCTTTCCCATACTCCTGGGGATTGATTACACTGGACACTATAGTCATGTTCTCCGGAAAAGCGTCGCTGAATTCTATCCGGTTTGGCTGGAGAAAAGTGAGAATAAGAAGACGAAGTTTACTGTATGTGAACACCTTGTAGAGTCAGATCGTCCAGCCTCACATGGTTTACCATATAAAGCCATCTACACGACTACGTTCAATCACTCTTCAAAGTTCACACTTCTACCATTTATGTGTAAACGAAGCACTAGGTATACATGGTCTCAGAAACTATTCTATGTATTCAGAAACATTCTGTTGAACGCCTCACACCGACGACCCACTCGTTACTT